CTCACCTGGGGCAGACTCCCATCCTCCACAACTGTATCAAACTCATTTGTCATCAGCTCCCCAAGGAAGTCTTCCACCTCATCCAGCTCCAAGTCAGCTGAGTAGGAAAGGATAGGACCCTCGGTCAAAGACCAGGCAACTGCCCATTACTTTTCAATATGTACTTGGTAGGTCTGAATCTGGTTGGAGGTAAAAGACCAAACCATGAGCCTTTTATTCACTAGAGTGCTCTCTTTCATCTGGCCTATTCTAACTGGCCTCCCTTCTATGTAATCTTGTATAAACTACTTACTTCTCTCTCAGCCTCTTCTAGTAGTGCCCTCCTTGAATATCTGTAATAAGAAGTCACTCAACCCAATGAATGGCAAAGGGGAGATCCCTAATCTGTGTAAATATCCATCACTCATGGGCTGAAGTGTTTAAAATATATAGATCTATTACAACTGTGGCTCCATTGATACAGGAAGCCACAGACCAAAGGGCTAGGAAGAAATGGATGTGCCACTTCCAATGACTAAAATCACATCCTATAATGGGACTCTGGCCAAGTCTTCCTCTTTGGGCTTCAGTCATCTTATGGGCCAATGTTCTCTACATTTTCTGAACTAGAGAATAACTCAAAAATGTCTTATACCAAGTTCCTCAGTCTCTCTTCTGTCTCTATGGTCTCCCTGGGAGAACTCATCAAGCCTCTTGCTTTTCCCTACCACTCAAAGCTCATATCACCCAACTCTGTCTCCAACTCAGAGTATGTATGTATATAGATGTTTCACAGGTGCCTCAGACCTCCAAATCCAAAGACTCATCACCTTACCCTCCAAACCTCATCCTCCAGAGTTCCTCTGTTCTACAAAAGGCACCTAAGCCACCCACCCAGTCACTCAAACCAGAAACCTGTCTCTTTTTCCCTCACCCCTCTCCTGCCAAGTACTCTCCAATGCCATAATCCATTCCTTTCTTTTCTGTGACCATTGTCATTGCCCTACTTCAGACCTCATCATTTTCTAGACCAAAACAACCTACCCTTCAGTCTTTCTGTCTTCACTCCATGTTCTATACTGTTACTTTCTATCCAACAAATCCCATCCTATGACTCACCTTAGAACCTGCCCATAAATTTTTACCACCTACTGCAGTGTTTCATAGTTTGCCTTTGGGAAACATCTGTTCTGTTGATGTTAAGGGAAGCTATCCATAGAATGTTAATGGAAAACAAAGGCAAACAGGGTTCTTAGTGATTCTTATCCTTATGCATGTCTTCAATATGTTAATGAGTGTTATGTTGTAACTCCCAAGTGGAAGCTGAAGAAAAAGAACTTACATAATTTGACTGGAGAAGTTTTTTTCTTCACTGAACATCTAACTGGACAAGTTTTCCATAGCATGCATTTTGGCAAACACTGGCCTAAAGGATAAAATCAAAGGCACATAAGGCCTTCCAGGTCTTACCCTTTGGGGGGAAAGGTCTCCCTACCTCTAGCCTCATTCTCTACTACTCCTTCACAATAGAGCCCTCTGTCACTTTCCAAATATAGCACATTATCTCCTCATACCACAGTATTCATGAGTGTTATTTTCTTCGCCTCTCCTATTCAATTAACTCCTTCTCATCCCTTAAGACCCAGTCTAATCACCACTTCCCTGAGAAGCCTCTCTCCAAGGTCCCTGTAACTAGAATTACAAGCTCCCCTTTATCAGAACACTTATCTCCCAGTGTTTTAACTGTCCATTTACCCATTTACAACCCTCACTAGATTGTAAACTTTCTTGAGATATGACTGTCTGATATCATCTCCAAGGCTAAAAAAATGAATAATTTTATAAAAAACCATAGAATGCAACAGGCCCCCTTCTGAGCCACTTGTTCTTGTATAATCCTCAAGACAGGAAATAGCCACATGTGGTTACTGAGCACTTGAAATGCTGCTAGGCCAAACTGAGATGTGCTAAAATGAAATTACCAGAGTTTGAACACTTAATACTAAAAAACATAAAAATATTTCAATAATGTTTTGTTTTTGTGGAACTGGGAACTTGATCCAGGGCCCCAGGCACTGAGCTACATCACCAGATCTTTCTAAAAATTTTACTTTGGAAACAGGGTTTCACTAAATTGCCCAAGCTGGCCTCCACCTTGCTATCATCCTGCCTCAGCCTCCCCACTTAGTGGGATCACAGGCATGCACTACCACCCCTGGCTCAATAATGTTTTATACTTATGGCATACTAAAATATTTTGAATGTGAATTGAAAAGTATGTATTATTAATTTCATGTGCCTCTCTTTGCTTTAGTAAAAATGGGTGTGTGTGGGGGGTGGGTGGGTGGGTGTGGTGCTGGGGTTGGAACCCAGGACCTTAAGAATGATAAGCAAGTGTTCTACCACTGAGCTACACCCACAGCCCAACGGTTTGTAAGTTACATGATGGATGACACACAATTCTACTGGACAGCACTGCGGGTAGAGACTCTTACATTCATTTTTGGGAATTAGAAAACTGAGTCTCAGTAGGTAAAATGCCTTGCTCAGGGCAAAAGCATGATTCCGTGGCACGCCCCTTAAGATAGAATTCTGACTCCAAAGCCTGCGTTCATTCCACCGCGGTCCAGGTACCAACCGACAACCGCTAAAGAGGAAGTGCGTACTTAGCAGGATGGAGCCCCTCTTCTTCACGCCCGGACACAGATCGCTTTGCCTCCCATTC